ACTGCTGCCTCTGTGGGAGTTAGTGGGGGGACAAGGGGAGGTGTCTTTGTGGGAATGGGCATGCTTAAAAGCCAGCTACGCATGTGTACTTGCTCCCACCTGCCCCCTTTCCTGAGCTGCTGCCTCTGAGTCAGGCAGCAGCATGGTGGGGGCAGGAGGCTTTGTAGGAGTTGACAGATGCAGTGGGGGAGAGAGGCAGTTCCACGAGAGCCAGCATGTGCAGGGAGCAAGCTTAAGCAGGTTCCCCAAGCACACTAGCTCCCACCTCTCCCATCTGCTGCCTCAGATACAGAGACAGCCTGGTGGAGGGAGGTACATGTAACTGTGTGGGTTAACGGATGAGCCGAGGCTTATTGGTTGATGTGTACTTGTGTACGTAGTTAACAACCCTAGTATTCAGAATAACTTTTCACACAATCAGATGAAAAATATTCTCTCTTCATTTATCTCTCTGCTCCCAGATGGAGAAGAGCCTGATTTATCCTGACTTCTAACAATACACCTGACAATATATTGTTAGAAGCTAGGAGAAAGTAGGCTCTTACCTATATGGGTGCAGAGAGACCATAACTGATCCAGATTGAAGGAAAAAGCAATGGTACTCAGAACGATTTCAAATCCTGGGAGAGAATATGGTGAGAAGAGTAAAGACCAGTCTAGCCCATATGATACAGAACATTTATCACAAACTAAATCAGAGCTGTATATAGTATGAACTCACAGAAGCAGAATTGTGATATTTTCTTTATCAGTCCCTTTCCTAATGACACCTTATATTCTATTACGTTTTTTTGTGCTGCCACTGCACATTGACGAAGTGTTTACAGAGAACTATCCACAATGACTCCCAGATCATTCTTGAGTGTTAACTAATTTAGGTCTCATTATTTTGTATGTACAGTTAGGATTATGCTTTCCAATGTGCATTACTTTGCATTTATCACTATTTGAATTTTATCTTTCATTTTGTTCCTCAGTTTTTTGAGATTCCTTTGTAATTCTTTGCAATGTGCTTTGGACTAGACTATTTAAAGCAATTTTGTACTGTTCACAAATGTTGTCACTGTCCACCCTTTCCATATACAGTACTTTACAAATATGTTGAACAGCACTGGTCCTAATACAGGTTTCTGGGGAACACTGCAATTTATCTCTCTCCATTCTGAAAATGAACTCTTCATTTCCACCCTTTGTTTTCTGTCTTTTAACCATGTAATGATCGGAGAGAACTTTCCTTCTTATCCCATGGCAGCTTACTTTGCTTGAGAGCCTTTGGTAAGGGAACTTGTCAAAAGTTTTCTGAAACTCCAAATAAATGATTATCCACTGAATTACCCTTGTCTCTGTGTGTTGTCCCCCTCAAATAATTCTAATAAAGTGGTGAAAAATTACTTCCTTTTTAAAACACCTGAATTAAATTGTGTTAATCTGTTTATCTGATTATTTTGTTCTTTACTGTAGTTTCAACAAGTTTTCCTGGTACTGAAGTAGGCTTATACCAGCCTGTAATTGCAAGGGTGGCCTCTGAAGCCTTATTAAAAAAATTGGTATGACGTAAGCTATCTCCAGTCACTTGATACAGAAGCTGATTTAAATGATAGGGTATATACCACAGTTAGTACTTCTGCAGCTTCTTATTTGAGTTCCTTCAGAACTCTTGGTGTAAGTATCATGTGGTCCTGGTGACTTGTTGTTGTTTAATTTATCATGTAGTATTTATTAATTCATAACTGTTTACTCTGAGATAAAGCTGCCTGTAATATCTGCTGGGTTTGCCACTGGCAGACAAGTTACTTGCACCATTTCAACAAAACATGCTTTTCAAATGCTATTTATTCATAAAAACTATAAAAAATAAAAAAGCGGCTCTCAAAACAGTCCTTCCCTGTTTGCTACAATTCTTTCAAATTTCATTTTTGATTTCTCATTTTATATATCTATCATGTATTTGACATTGTCCTTTTTTTCCTCTCTTGGTTCCCAACCTCCTTTCTCTTTTTCTTTGAAAATCTGTGCCTCTTTCTTTGTGTCTAATTCCTGCTCTCTTTGCACTCCCTCGAGTGCATTTCTCCTATTATATCACCCATATTGTGCTCTCCCCCCATACCATTCTCTCCTTTCATCTTGCCCTCTATACTTCTTCTGATCAACCATTTTCTGCCTAATATTCAAGCTAATATGCTTACTCTTAGTCCTCATCCATCTCTTTCCGTTCACCTGGCCAGAATTTTTGCAGTCTCCTCATTGCTCCTCCTTTTCCCCCTTATCTCCCTTTACACATTTTTTTGGGGGCATCTCTCTCTTTTTTTTTTTTTTTTTTTTTTTTTTTTTTGTCTCTGGAACAGTAAGTGTGTGATGTCACATGGGATTTCTGAGGCTGTTTTACTGAAAAGCTGGTCAACCCAACTGTCTGAAAGTTTTGTTTCCATGCTCAGAGAGCAAGGTGTAGAAATGACTGTGTCCACTGTCAGTGCTTTCTTCACATTATTTCTGGTCATTTCTTCAGTCTGGTGTTCCGTGAGACAAATTACTCATACTTTACTGGATCAAGACCTTTAAGATTAAAGAGGCTTGCAGTCTCTAACCTAGTGTTTTTATATTTATTTATTTATTTATTTATTTATTTATTTGAGAGTGTTTCTGTCTGTCTGTTGAAGAGCTCCTCCTAAACAGTAAAAGCTTAGGACCACCAGATTTGGTATACAAATTCCTCTTATCATAACTTAAGGGTTTGATTGTGCCAGGAAAATGGGATGTGCCTAGAATGGCATTGCTTCTCCTAAAACCATACAGAAAAGAAACAATCACCAGGCAGGTGAAAGAGGCTAGTAGGGGCATGCCTCCGTCAACCCTTCCCCGTGTTGGACTGTCCTAGCCCCAAGCCTTCCCCTCTCTCCTGCTCTCTTTAGGGAGAGCAGAGGGGGGCTGAAGCCCCACCCCCAGATTTGCACAGCGACATTGCTGGTTGTTGGCCTTGGCCAGGGAGCAAGGGGAAGTGCACAGTTTGCTGCATTCCTCACTCTGGCTGGGCAGCACAGGGGAGAGATGAGTTGTGCAGTTTGCTCTTACTCCCTGACAAGGGCAGGAAGGGGAAAAGCAAGCTTCTCTGGTATGACTCTTGTGGAAGTGGGCAAGCTTTACCTTCCCTCTCTCTGCTATCCAGGGCCCCTCTTCATCCCTGCATCCATATGTCCCCTGACTTGAGAGCCCCTCCTTAAGAGCACGAGAAACACCTGGTGAGTGTGCTGGAACAAAGATAAATGTAATGCATTTTTCTTCCATAGACTTACAATTTCCAATTGCTGTACTAACCTAGTGTTTATTTTACCCCCTTCTCTCATAACTGCATCAATTGCTGGTCTCTGATTTCCTTTGTGTCTGGTCTGGTTGTTTAGGGGGAAACGTTTTTTGTGTTTCCTACCAGCTTTTCTTTCTTCACACACAATAGCCCTGAAAGATGATATGCTGTGAAGAAGACAAAGCTAACAAACTCAAAAGTGATACAGCATGGAATTGGTAACTGGGGTTAGGAAGTGGATGGAAAGAGCAGCGTATGATAATGGCATAACATCATTCACACTTTCTGATGGTCATTGCAGCTGCTAGTGCTGGACAAAATTATTTAGCTCAACACATCTAAGCATTTATTTAATAAGCAATTGGGCATATGTTTGTCTAATTGTACTCAGTGGGACTTGGGAACACGTAGGGAGTTTAAACATGTTCTTAAGCCTTTTCTTGAGAGTGGGGATGAACCTGGGACTCTGCACTAAGTACTTTGCTGAATTCAGTGGAACTGTGTGGAGTGTAAATCAGGGCTGAATTCAGACCATTAGTTGTCCTGCATGTTCTGGTGTCCTGTGATAATTTCTGCCCATACTTGAGTGAAGCAGATAAGTTATTTTGTGAATTCATCAAGCCACCTAGGGTGAGTTGCATTTTAGCCTCTTCCTTTCTTTTGGCTTTCACCTATTAGTAATCCCTTTCCTCAGTCAATCCAGGATGCTATGTCTTATCTCCTGGCAGGGGAGATTTCCTTGAAGTCAGTACCAAGCACAGACCCATTGACCAGTAGGGGTTGCTACGAGAGCATTGCATACAGAGGAATTTGCTTCCTTCTTTTTGAGATACCGTGGTCGATGTGCCTTGCCCACGCTGACCTCTTTTCCCATGTACCACGCCCAGGCTCAGTAAGGCTCAGCAGTGAGTTGAGCATAGATGCTCTGCTGCTTAGTATTCTTTGAAGGTATTTTGTATGTTCTTTATTATTTAATAAGGCTGGTAATTGTAAAGCTGTAATCACTTGCTCATATTTGGGTAGTTGCATACTTTGGAAGTGTTTAGTTTGATATTTAATTTTACTATGGTACATGAGAAAAGAGGTCTGCATAGGCTAGGCACACCAGCTAAATATAAATACATTAAGTTGAGCCATAGTATCCCTAGGGTTCATTTCCAGATGCCCTTATATTACTGTTTTAATATCATTTGTCACTAGGATGCTTACTGGTTTCCTTCCGTACTGGGGAAATAATTGAATTGGGCATGACTAGTGGCATTCCTTGGATTAAATTTTTTTTGAGTGTATTCCCACAAAATCATCATTAGGTATTTTTGGCTCCAGTTCCGTTGAAAGAGCACTACATTGTAAATCAATATCTGTTCAAAAAGACACTGCTGTAAATTGCCTAGACAGCATATGCATGGTTACTTTGGCTGCAATGCTGCTGCAGAGCCTGGGTAGTCTGCTTGCCTGGGAACTCCACAGGCAAGTCCATCCTATTTTTTTTAAATATCTTTTCAGAAGGAGCATTGTATTGCTCACGAAAATTTGAACAGAGAATTATTCTGCTCTGTGTTGACTGTACTTTTTATATTGCGCTCTACTGGGATTTTCCTGCCTTTAGGGATTGCTTTGTTTTCTGCTTTAGATTTCCCCCTTTCTTAGCTGTAGTACATCCGTACCATTTCAGCTTGTTAACGCAGAAAGATGTGAATTCAGTTGCTGAATGAGCCCAGCCTGACTGCAAACACTAACATTGCTAGAGATATGCTTAAGAGTTGCAGGTGAATCTGACCTGAACCTGATAACAGCAAAACGGTAAGATGGTGTTTGTTTTGAAATACAGGATTAACTGAGTACTGGGCTCCCTTGTTAAACCTGAGTTCTAGTTATCACATGCTTCCAACTTGAGCAGGATTCATTCTGTGCATGTCAGTGGTGGGGTTTTTTGAATGCTGAAAATCTAGACAGATGAATGTAGTGGTTAGCTTGGAATGCCACATGAGGCTGCCCAGCATACAGCCTTGTGAGACTCCTTAAATATTGCTTTGTGGTTTCTAAATATCAGTAAAAAGGTGTGTGTGTGTGTGTGTGTGTGTGTGTGTGTGTGTAAAATATATATTTTGCTACTGCTCAATTTATCTTTCAAACAACCTTATTTATTATACTATAAAGAGGACACTAGAGACAATTTTGCTGGTATATGCTTGGCTGATTGCCCTCTGGGACAAGTGAGTGAAGGACGTGACCAGCCACTTCTCATTTTTGCAAACAAGTATCTGCCTCCTGATAGATCTGAATGGAATATGTCTTTAATAAATTAGAGATTTGCTTAATGTAGGAAAAGATAACATGTACCATCTTGAAATATGTGTTATGTGACGTACCTTCTGGACTTATTAGCCATTTGGTTGTTTTATTTTCATGTTTAGAAAGTAATTTAGTCATTGTCAGTGGTCATTCTTGAATAGCTGGTGTAGAAGTGTATTCGCAGCATTTTAGATCTCAGTAGACTATTGCAGCATGTATGGAAGCTTGGGGCAGCAGCATGTTCATTTAAAAAAAAAACCCACTTGGTCATGAGCAGTATAAGACACAAGGATAACAACATAGCCATAACACGGCATAGCAATTTGAAATATTGTTGGTGATACTAATTGACAGGTAGTAATTTGAGTTCTGCATCAAACCAGAGACTTACTTTTAACTGAAATGTAATTCAATTAAAATGTTTTTCTGTTGTAGAGTATATTTTAGTCAGTGAATGAGGGCAGCTAGAAAAGCAATGATACAGTAAAAAAATATATTTATTACAATTAGATAATGTGACAAACTGAATTTCATTTTTGCCAGAAATGTGCCTGCCATTTGAATGTTGCGTAAAAGTAATGCGGTTAAAATTAGTAGAAATACAGTACATGGTTGCAAAATTAGTACTGTAATAATTTGATGGTAAAGCATAGTTTTAATATCTACTCGATCTTTAGGTTTGTAGCAATTATAATTAAGGGATATGTGTGTCTGGGGTTGAGTCAAGTTAGGCCTGTATGTTTATTTTATAAATGTTTAATTGCTTAACCTTATTTTCTGTGAGTGGCTGTTCTTAAAAATATTCTTTTAACATTCTCTTCTCAGTGCACTATGTTATTACACCTGTATTAAATGTGAGTGATGTAAACTACCTGTTACACACTGTGTATTCAAACTCCAATGTATATCTTACAGGGATCAGAAACAATTGTCTTTGGTCAGGTAGGATAAACTCATGCATTTCTAGTCAAAGAATTACTTCAGTTGCAAGCTGATGTTGACTGATATATTTTTTTCCCCTGGCTTATTTACCATTCTAAGCATAAGAAATGCACCACAAGTTTCCTTTTGCCTGTGATAGATTGAATGTTCTGAGTGTGTGTGTGTTTCCTTTCAGTATGTTGGAGTGAAAGTCTGGAAACTCTAGAGAAGGGCTTAGATTTTTTTTTCTTTGAGCAAAGGGTAAAGGAGGTGTACCAACTCTCTGAAGAGTGGCTCTGTTTCTACAGTTCCTAAACTTATCTGTTGCACATAACGTTTAGAGGCACAAGGTGCATGAGAGAATACCTTTTATTGGACTGACTTCTGTTGATGAGACACAAGCTTTAGCGCTTACTTCACCCACCTTGTCTCTCTAAATAGCACTCACACAGTTTTTCAGATTTTCCTTTAAAAAACAAACAAACCTTGTTCATTATATTCTCAGATAAAAAATGTAACCAGCAATTCTGGTCAGTTACCATTTGTAAAAGTTTTCTCCTCTTGGACTCTGAAGAGTTTACTCTCGAGATTAAGAATGAAATCAAGGGCATTTTAGACCTTTTTTATATGAAATTATTTGTGGTAATTTTCTTAAATTGTTGGTTAATTAATGTAGATTCCAAATTAACACAAACACAGGAGAAATCTGGAGAAAGCAAGTTAGGAGACATATTAACATATTTGAGCAGGGTTGAAAGGAGAGAGAGCACCGAATGTTTCATAAAGATTATCCGCCCGTTTTCAGTGTGTGGCTCCATTACATAGCTACAACCCATTTGTCACACTGAGATGTATACATTGGAGGGTACCTCTTCAGGTTCCCTCGTTTCTAAGCTTCTTAGAAAAAACAGGACCCTGTGGATTATCAGAGGATAATGTTAATCTTCTAATTAGCTGAGGTAAGAATAGTAAAGAGAACTGTTTCCTCACCTTGATTTTTTTCTGGGTGGGTGGGGGGGAAAAAGGGGGAAGAGCAGAAATTTTTTCATTTTATTTTGATTCCTCAGAATCCAAATAGAGAGAACTTGAAAAAATTAGAACATAGATGATTTAAAGTTTCCTTAGAATACACCAGGAACCATTCAGAAGGCCTGAAACTCAACAAGGAAAATACTCAAGACAGCCATAATCCCAATTCACCCTTCTGGGTAAACCCTGATAAACTTTTACAAAAAACTCTTTAGAATACAATGTCTCTAATCTGTGGGCTGCCAAGATAAAAAGCAAAATATGTGTGAAGCTTCTTGGAAAGTGGACATGCAAGTTGCCTCCCATTCAAGTAAGTTTCCCACTATTAGAAGACAATTTTTGTTTCCATGAAGCCCTAATAGATGAGAACTGATAGTACTGTAAAAATGCTTTTGATTACTCTGCAATACAAATATCCAAAATCACACACAGCCTTCTGTGGCTCAGACAACTGCTAGTATGAGTCACAAAGCTTTAGTGGAGTTCACTATTGCAGGTGTCATCAAGGAAAATCCTTGCTTGGACAGTGAGCCTCCTGCATAGTGTAGCATGTGACACATGTTTTGTCAGCAAGTGTGGCCAGCAGCAATTTGTCAAGCAGGCCCTGTGATGACAACATCCTAAATCGATTAGCTTTGCAAACTATAAGATAGTAACAATCCCCATCTAAAAATTTAAACCTTCTTGAATGCCTTGAATTATACCCTAAAGAACCTGGCAGTCGTCCTCCCTCCTCCTCCCCCTCAAAAAAAAAATCCTTGAGTACTTCTCAGAGATCCTGACCAATATAGTCAGACCTTTCTTCATTCAAGAAAGTACTTGCAAGACAAGAAGAGATTGAGGTTGAGTTCCAGGCTATGCCATGTTGACTTAGTGTACTTGGTTTGATTAACAATTATTCTCCTAAAAATTTGAGTGCATACCATACCATAGTGGTTGGTATTTTATCCAGACTGAACAGTCCCTACAAGATTTCTGGAAAGAAAAATGAGAGCATTTGGTTTATCTGATGAAATCATTAGAACATGACAAAGTCTGTGATGCTTAGGAACTGCCCCCAAAGTCTATTACTGTACTTGAGAAAGATTTAACACTTGGTTTAAATTCTGAAGTCTCATGTGTCTTGTTTCCGGAATTAGACTTCCTTTAGGTGGGGTCTAGATTGTGTTAGAAAAATGCTGAAAGCCAGTATCTTTTTTCAGTTCAATTAAAAGGTTTTCTATTATAAAGTCAGTTTCATTATCTCCAGAGGGATGTTTTATTGATTAGATAGCTTGCTATCTTCCATTCCCCCTCCCCTCAATTTATATTTGAACAGTGACCCCCTTGTATGTTGTGAAAGGCTTCCTTTGAATATATAGTTTCTATTTCCTTTCTTTACATTGTGATAAATATTTGGCTTTTCATTCACAGTTTCTTGTGTGTGTATGTATTATGGCCTTGGGGGCAAGTTTATCAAAAAATTTCCAAGTTTTTCTGTTTCAATTCTAGATGACTAACAAGGAGAATGACAAAGTGCACATAGAATCATAGAACTGGAAGAGTCCTCAGAAGGTCATCAAGTCCAGCCCCCTGCTCTAGGCAGGACCAATTCCAACTAAATCAACCCGGCCAGGGCTTTGTCAAGCTAAGACTTAAACACCTCTAGGGCCGGAGACTCCACTACTTCCCTAGGTAACCCATTCCAGTGCTTCACCACCCTCCTAGTGAAATAGTTTTTCCTAATATCCAACTTGAGACCATTGCTCCTTGTTCTGCCATCTGTCACTACTGAGAACAGCCTCTCTCCATCCTCTTTGGAACCTCCCTTCAGGAAGTTGAAGGCTGCTATCAAATCCCCCCTCACTCTCCGCTTCTGCAGACTAAACAGACCCAAGTCCCTCAGCCTCTCCTCATAAGTCATATGCTCCAGCCCCCTAATCATTTTGGTTGCCCTCTGCTGGACCCTCTCCAATGACACAGTACTCCAGATGTGGCCTCACCAAAGCCGAATAAAGGGGAATAATGACATCTCTGGATCTGCTGGCAATGCTCCTCTTAATGCATCCTAATATGCCATTAGCCTTCTTGGCTACAAGGGCACACTGTTGACTCATATCTAGCTTCTCATCCACTGTAACCCCCAGGTCCTTTTCTGCAGAACTACTACTTAACTGGTTGGTCCCCAGCCTGTAACTATGCTTGGGATTCTTCCGTCCCAAGTGCAGGACTCTACACTTGTCTTTGTTGAATCTCATGAGATTTCTAGTGGCCCAATCCTCCAATTTGTCTAAGTCACTCTGGACCCTATCTCTGCCCTTAAGCGTATCTACCTCTCCCCCTAGCTTAGTGTCATCTGCAAACTTGCTGAGGGTGCAATCTATCCCCTCATCCAGGTCATTAATAAAGATATTGAACAAAACCGGTCCTAGAACCGAACCTTGGGGCACTCCACTAGAAACCGACCTCCATCCTGACATCGAACCGTTGATCACTACCCGCTGGGCCCGGCCTTCTAGCCATCTTTCTATCCATCTTACCGTCCATTTATCCAATCCGCATTCCCTTAACTTGCTGGC